CCTCCTCCTCCTCCTCCTCCACCTTCAAAATCAAAGCTCTTCGCCGCACAGATGAGTCGAGAGCTTGCAGGTCTTCCCGTAAACGCTCCTCACCAACTCGGCTCCGAACTGCCCGAACACAAAGATCGAAGAGGATTTGTACCCGAGGCTGCGCAGGGAGTGGAGGCAGGAAATGCTCATAGTCACCCCTCCGCACACAACCACCTACGACGGGAAAGAAAACGGGGAAATTAAGCGTTCGCGTCTATTTCATTATCATCAAAGCGTTCGCGTTGTATTTCATTATCATCATTCTTTCTTGTCGTTACCATAACTGATATTATTATTAGGATTATTACTACCATTACTACTGGGGGTTGGATCCAGGGCACCTAGCTCTGTACGCCCCCTATTTTTGGCAGAGTTGTATTTTAGTTCTTGCCCAGTTTTCCCTGTATCCACTTTAGAAGTATGTCTATGAAGACACAAACACTTGACAGAAGCTTGGACGGGGAATATATTAATATGTTCTCCTGCATGGTATTGGCTTACACATCCCCCCCCCCCACTCCCTTTCCGAAATGTTTGGATCCAACCCTGCTGCTACTGCTCTGATCATTATCAATATCATCGTTACCTAAACATGATGATTATCATCATTATAATCATCAATATTATTATCATTATTATTATGATCACCATTATTACCATCATTATTACGACCATCATCATCATTGCCATTGTCACTACTGTAATCAGTATATCTATCATCCTTGCTACCATAATCACACTATCACAACCATTATCATTATCATCATTCCTGTCACCACAATCCCCATCCTCAAACCACTGACGAAGCTCAGGATGACCAGCAATCAATCAATCAAGGGGCTGTCGCCGCCTGGGGCGCATGGCCGCATCCACCCTTCGCTTCCAGGGAGACCCTCACTGCAAGCTGCCGGGGAGGCCTTCTGCCCATCTCTAGTTCCTCATGGTAGGTCTGATCGAGCTGCCTAAGCCACGTCTTCCTGGGGCGTTCCAAGCGACTCCTCCACTCAGGATTGCCTCGTAGAGAGAGAACCTGATGGGGAGGGTTATCCACTGGGATACGAGCTAGGTGTCCGTATAGCCTGAACTGGCGGTCACAGATTATGAAAGTAACAGATACCATGCCAGTCTCACGGCGTAACCGTCGGTTGGACACATGGTCCTGCCAACTGTACCCCATGCTCCGACGTAGGGACTTGTTACAAGAGGCTTCGAAACGTGACTCCGGAGCACTTGATAGTGTCCAGGTTTCGCTTCCATAGAGCAAAACTGGCAGCATCAAGGTCTTGAAGACACGTAACTTAGCCCTGCTGCACCTATAAATGTTCTTGTTGACTGGCCCCTGCTGTCAGACCAATCCGTCTACTGACTTCCTGGTCTGACAGCCCAGGGGCATGGACTGCACTACCAAGGTATGTAAAGTTCTCTGGGACTACAACGTCTTCACCGCATGCATGTATCGACTGAACAGGTTCCTCTAACAGGCCCCCCAAATCCTGGATCTTGGTCTAGGTCCAAGAGATCTCTAGACCCAGGGACCGCTTCATTGCTGAATACTTCACGCCGCCCTGATTATAGAACAGCAACATAGTCGGCAAAGTCAAGGTCCTGATCAATCAAAACTAGATTAAACATATGAACTCGAGTCGCGTTCGAAACTCACTTTATGCTTCGAACTGTTGGCTTCAGGAACGTGTTTCGAGATCAAGTCGGTGTTTATGAACCCTTCTTCGCCCTCCCAGTCCTGGGGTGCTTCGCCGACGCTGTAGACCACACGGATGCGACTGTCTTTCTCTGTTAAATAGAAATAAGTCAATGCTTATGCAAATTAATAAACAGATGAATATATAGACACATAAATCTATAAATAAATATATGTATACATGAATAGATAAGATTAACAAATGAAAAGAATGATATACAAAATAAGATTAGTAAATAACCCTTAAAACAAAAACAGACACACAAAACATGAAAACAACGAAATTTATATGTCTTTCAATATCAAATCAATAAAACCAAACAAAACAAAAACCAACACACAAGAAAGGAAAAAAATAACCTTACAAATTAAAGAAAGAAAGAAGGAAAGTAAAAAGTAAAAAAAAGAAGAAAAAAACAACCACCAACCACAATAGCGATCCAGCTCCTCTCTGCACAGGAACTCGTCCACCGTCTCGGAGAAGTACAGCAGCGTGATTCTGGTCTCGTCCTCGGGCAGCTGGGCGACGCACCGCACCAGCTGCAGCCCGGGGGTCACTCCAGCTCCTGACGCCAGCACTGTCAGGTCCGTCAGCGTGTTGGCCTCGTACTCCAGCCCTCCGCAAGGGCCTTGGAAATCGATCTGGTCTCCTGAAGCGGGGAGGGAGATAAGGAGGGTGGGGTGGAGAGTTTGATAGATAGATAGATAGTAATAATTAAGTAGTAGATAGATAGATAGTAAATATTATTTATAGATAAAGATAAGGATTACTTTGTTGAGTTTGTGATATTTCGTGTAGAATGAATCTGATTTCCCAAACTTTTATTTTCTCTCTCAAATCATTTTCCTCTTAAACATATACACAAGTAGATAATTAAAAAAGCAAGAAATGAAACACGCCACACTTCACAATCACAAAAACAAAAGAAAAAAAAAAGGAAACATATAAAAAAAGTAAAAAAAACAAACAAACAAACAAAAAACGACCCATCCTACATCCCGCTCCGCACCTGGTTTCAAATCCTGGAAGAACCTCGACATAACGCCCTGGGTCTCGAACTTCAAGACCAGCTCGATGCGGCCGAAGTCGTCGGGGCGAGACACCGGAGAGAAGTAGCGGAGGTGCTCCTTGCCTGCGACGGCCACGCGGACCTGCCAGCATCGGTTGAGTTATTAGCATCAATCATATCATTGCTATCAATAATCTACATTATGTTCATTGTTTTTAGGATTGATAATGCTATTACTATAATTAGTTGTTCATTATCTTTAGTATTGTTAATACAATTACCATTATTAGTTGTAAGGGTAATAGTAGTTGTGGTTTAATTAGTATTAGGAGTTGTCTAAGCATTACTATTATCAATATTGTTACTGTTAGTATTACTATTAGTGTTATTGATAGTTTTGTTATTATCATAACTATTATTGATAATATTACCATCATTATTGTTACTATTACTATCATAATCAATATTACTATTATCAATATTGTTACCTTTTTATTATTGATATTACTACTACTATTACTGTTACTGGTACTATTATTACTATTACTACGACTGTTATTGTTCGTATTACTGCCTCTAATAACATCATTATTGTCGTCGTCATCATCATCATCTACGTGAATATTATTGGCATCACTTTTATTATCGATAAGTATATCATTATTACCATTATCATCAAGGTCATTCTGATTATTATCAATGTTACCCTATCATCATCACCCACTGATAACACAACCACATACAATCATTTTACTTCATCTAGTTTTTGCTTTAAATTAACGAATTCCACACACAAAAATAAACAGAAAAAAACAACCCCACAACGAGGCCAACACAAACACAACCCACAAGCCACCCTACCATAACATACTGTCCCGGCAGACAACCCGTATGGTCGGTACTCTTGGGCAAAGCGAAGGTAAAAACGGCCATATTGCCCGTGAGGTCGGCGCGGGAGAGGAGCTTGAGGGCCGTCCACGAATCAGGTCGAAGCGCAGGGTCGTGTTGGACGCCGTCGGAGGTCGTCGTCTGGAGGGAAAAGAAAAGGAAAAGGATAAGGATAAGGATAAGGATAAGGATAATAAAGATAAAGATAAGGTAAAGCAAGGAGTAAGGGTTAGGATAAGAGTTAGGCAAAGGGTGAGGGTGAGGATAGGGATAAAAGTAAGGATAAGGATAAGGGTAGGGATAAAAGTAAGGATAAGGGTAAGGATAAAAGTAATGGTTAGGATAAGGGTACGGATAGGAATGAAAATAAGGATATAAGTAAGGGTTAGGATAAGGGTAAGGATAGGAATAAAAGTAAGGACAAAGATAAGGAAAACAGTAAGGGTTAGGATAAGGGTAAGGATAAGGATTGGATAAAAAGTAAGGATAAGATAAAAAGGAAAGGGCAGGATAAGGGGGAGGGCAAGAGTAATGGTAATGATAATGATAACGATAATGATAATCAATAATTAATTATTGAGTATTAACAATCTGTTCTAATGTCATTTACTACAATGAATATCCTTTGCTGTGACAAGCTGTCTGTTTATTTGCTTCTAAATCTCCCCTGTGTTTAGGGAATAGCCGGGCGTTGACCATCCACTGGGCAGCGCGCGGATTGGAGAGAAGAAGAGCAGAGAGAGAAAAGGACAGAGAAGAGAAAAAAGAGAAAATAGCAGACAATAAGAGAAAGAGAGAGAGAAAGGAGCCAACCCGTAGAGGAAAGAAACCGGACCGGAGACCCAAAGAGAGAAGAAGAGAGCAGAGGAGAGAGAGACCAAGAGGATCGATGAGCGACCGAGCAGGCGCACTGCGGTACGGAGCAGGGCCGGAGGCGAGGGACGGCGGAGCGCGGGAGGGACGGAGGACGGTGAGGAGGGGGAGGAAGGAGAGAAGAGAGAGACGGACGCGGGAGAGAGACTGAGAGAAGACGGGGGAGCACTGAAGGGAAAGAAGAGCGGAGAGAGAGAGCGAAGACGAAGACTGACGGAGGAACGGTAGAGAGACAGAGAGGAGGAAAGGACGAGAGAACGAGAGAGAAAGAGTAGAGAAAGAGACGAGAGAAGATACAAAAGGAGGCCCGCGCCAGACCAAAGAGACTGAAACGAGAGAGGAGAGAAGAGCAGAGAGGAGAGACCGGAGAGAAGGAGAGGAGTACGAGACAGAGATGATGAGAGATCGAGAGAGGACGAGAGAAAAGGAGAGAGGAGACGGAGAGAGAGAGCGAAAAGAGGAAATTCACACACACAAAAAAGCACCCTCAAAGTGTCTCTTTTAATAACATCACACTAAGCGAAAAAGACAGGCCGAGACTGATCATACAACACATATGTAGCAAATCAACACTAAAGAATAAAGTAAATAACAGTAATACAATGTAAATAAAGAAACCTTTCTAAAACATAAAAGAACAATACAGATGACACCCGCTCCCACCCGACCCCACTCACTCCCCCCCACCGCTCCCCTCACTCTCCTCCCGCTCCCACGATATACACCACACCAAGTAGGAGGTCTCGTGTTGAACCAGGTGTGATTATCCAACGTCGGCTGTTCCTCGCGTCGGATACGCGACGCAGCTCCCTCCTTCTGCGCCTGCCACCTCCTGCAGTGAGTTCTTGGCGAGGGCGCCTTTCTCCTCCAGGGTCAGCTTCTGCATCTCGTGCTGGAGACTCGCTGGTCTGCTCGCTCTTGCCTGAGGTCGAGGTTGAGGTCGAGAAGGAGTCAGAATCAAATAACTTAGCCGGCGTCAAATGTCTTCTAAAAATATGGGCGATCCGTGGAGATCATATTCAAATCCTATTTCAGACTATTTTTCGAGAGAAATAGAAAAACAATTCTTGTCTCTCTCTCTCTCTCTCTCTCTCTCTCTCTCTCTCGTCTACTCCTCTATATATATTATATATATATATATATATGTACTTATACATACATATATATATATATATATATATATATATATATATATATATATAACATATTATACATATGTGGTGATGTGAGGGTGATGTTGACATTGATGACATGAGATAAATATATATACAGAGCTCAACTCGACAGCAAAAAAATACAAACCGACTTACCAAGGGTCCAAAGAAGAATCTCGTTGAGCGCGACTTGCCGACTAACTGCCGAATTACCTCGTTAGTCGGGCCCATTACCCATCCTGACTTTCCGTCCCGAAGTAGTCTTTCGAGACCCAGTTCCGTCTAGAAAAGAAAACGGGAATATTCTTGAAAAGAAGAAAACAAGAAGGTTCTAGAAAAGAAAACGGGAAGATTCTTGAAAAGAAGACAACGGGAAGATTCTTGAGAAGAAAACGGGAAGATTCTAGAAAGAAGAAAATTGGGAAGATTCTTAAAAGAAGAAAACGGAAAAGATTCTAGAAGAAGAAAATTAGAAGATAGAGAAGCAGAGAGAGAGAGAGAGAGAGAGAGAGAGAGAGAGAGAGAGAGAGAGAGAGAGAGAGAGAGAGAGAGGAGAAGAGAGAGAGAGAGAGAGGAGAGAGAGGACTGAAGAAAGAGACAAAGACACAGACAGACAGAGAAGGAACCTCAAGGACTCACCCTGTACCCGGAACCACCGCAGGCGAACAGCATTTTGTCTGACACCTTCACGACGTTTTTCGCTGCGGTAAACTTAGCTTGCCAAAGCCAGTGCTGAAACTTTGTCCTGGCGAGAGAAAGGAATTTCGTATGAGAACAGTGTGACATGTGTCTAGGTATTTTCTTTCTAATTGTCTTTGTTTGTTTGTCTGTCTGTCAAACTATCTTTCGTATCAAGTACCAAGTTAAAATAAAGCTTGATCTGCAAATACACCCCAACAATCAAACTTGCATTTTCTTACATACAAAATATAATAACAATAAAATAACGACAGCAACAACAATAACAAAACAATTACAACAAGAGGAACAATAACACCACTAACACCAACAATAACAATAACAACATCAACACCAACAACAACAATAAAGATAACACTAACAAACTCCAAAAACAAAGCAACTCACCTCGGCAAGAACGAGAGGTCCGAATGCAGCGCCCATTTGTTGTTCCGAGTTGCAGCATCCACCGCTTGCAACAGGAGGAGCAACAGACCCCTCGATGCGTTGGTGTTGATGATGCACTCGCCGAAATAATCCTGTGAGGATAAGAGAGAGAAAGAGCGGATTATAAGAGGTAAGGTGCGGATGGTACAGAGAAGATAGAGTTAGGTGGGGGGGAGGGAGGGAGAGGGAGAGAGGGAGGGGAGGGAGGGGAGGGAGGGGAGGGAGGGGAGGGGGGGAGGGAGGAAAGGAGGAAAGGAGGGAGATGGGGACTGGGGAGAGGGAGGGAGGGAGGGAGAGAGGGGAAATAGGGGATGAGAGGGAGAGAGGGAGAGAGGGAAATAGGAATGAGGGACGGAGTCTTTTTTACTGCTCTTAAAATAAGCATCACCATTTTATGTTTATTCTATTTATTATTATATTATTCATTTTTTTTGCGTGGACATGTTCTGAAGTCCCGCCACCCACCTGCACAGTCGGGTAGTCGCACACGCGCATGCCCATGTCTGCGTGCGCCTTCCGGGTCACGTGTTTCTTGGCGACGTCGAGGCAAGCGAGGGCGATGCCGTTCCACGCTGAGGCAAGGCTGGTGAAGTAAAACGATGCCGCATTCGTCGTTGCTCTGAAGTCATGGATTTTTTTTTTATTGGATTGGTGAGGATAAAAGGAGGATGATTTGATGTGAGGGATTTTTGTTTTGGTTGATTTTATGCCACTTGACTAGGGATTTTTTTGTTTGGTGAGGATAAAAATTAGGATGATTTGAAGGAAGGATATTTTTACCTGGTTGGTGAGGATAAAATGAGGATGATCTGAAGCTAGGGAATCTTTTTTTTTTATATGATAATGAGGAAAAAATGAGAATGATTTGATGTGATTTTTTTTATTTGATTGGTGAGGATAAAATGAGGATTTTTGAAATAGGATACAACGATGATCTGAAGAGAGGAAGAGAGCCACACCTCCACCGAGTCACCTTACTCTATCCTCACCTTCCCTCCGTCTCCTGCCGGGCCGACCATCCTGTCGAGGGGGAACTTCCCTTCGACGACCAGGGGCCCCGACTGGTTCCCGTGCATCCCCATGGCGCTCCAGTTGTCCGTCGACGCTCGCACCTCGTCCTGGGAAGTGAGGACCAAGGGTTGTGAGGATCAGGCGAAGTGAGGATCAGAATGAAGTTTGAGGATCAGGGGAAGTGAAGGTGCGTGAGGATCAGGTGACGTGAGGGTGAAGTGAGGATCCAGGTGAAATGGGAATCAGGGACGGAGGTATCGTGAGGATCAGGTGCAAGTGAGGATCAGGATAATTCAGTATGAAGTGAGGATCATGGTGAAGTGAGGGTCGTTTCAGTTGAAGTGAAGTGAGGATCATGACAGTGAGGATCAGTGAAGTAGAGGGGTCAGTGAGGTGAGAAGTGAGGATCAGTGAATGCATAGTGAAGTGGGATCAGGTGAAGTGAGGGTCAGGTGAAGTGAGGGTCATGTGAAGTGAGGATCAGGTGAGTGTGAGGATCAGGTGAAGTGAGGATCAGGTGAAGTGAGGATCAGATGAAAGTGAGGATATGAAGTGAGGAAGTGATCATCAGGTGAGTGAGTGATCAGGGGTAGAGAGGTCAGGTGAAGTGAGGGTCAGGTGAAGTGAGGATCAAGTGAAGTGAGGATCATGAATGAGGATCAGTGGAGAGTGAAGGAGGATTCAGTGAGGATCAGAGGATCAGGTTGAAGTGAGGATTAGAGATGAAGTGAGGATCAGGGATCAGTGTAGTGAGGATCAGGTGAAGTGAGGTCGTTAGGATGTTATATTGTGGGGGCGACGCGTTCATTTGAGTTTTTCCCCTCAGTTAAGTTGCATATTTCTTACAGGAATCTAACTCACACCAAAAAATAAGTTTATCAAACATTCTACCAACCCCAAGTTGCTCTCCCCCCTCCCTCCCCCCAAAAAACATACCTTAAACACGAGGAAGATGGAGAGATTGGAGTAAGTGGAGTGGCCAGGCTGAGGACTCACTGTCTGCACGGAGTACCAGTCGGCCAGACCTGCACTCGTCGCCCAAGAAGCCACCTTCAGCATCTGCACCGTGTCTTCGTCTATCTGGCGCACCTTCGAGGACAGAGGGTACCAGAAGTGGGTTCCTGTGAAGGAGGAGGAGCAATGAGGAGGAGGAGGAGGAGGAAAAAAGGGGGAGGGGGAGATGGAAGAATGGAAGGATGAAGAAGTGAGGAGGAGGAATGGGAAGGAGGAGGAATGGGAAGGGGGGAGGCGGGGAATGGGGAAAAGGAAGAGGAGGAGGAGCATGAGGAAGAAGAATAAGAAGGGGAAGGAGGAGGAGGAGAAGGAAGAGAGGAAGGAGGAGGAGGAGAAGGAAGAGAGGAAGGGGAGGAGGAGGAAGTGGAATGAGAAGGGGGGAGGAGGGGAGGTGGTGGGGAAGAAAGGAAGGAAAAAGAAATGGGGAAAAGGAGGAGGAAATTGGGGAAAAGGAGGAGGAGGAGGGATGGGGGAAAGGGAAGGAGGGAAAAGGGAATGAGAAAAGGAGGAGGAATGGGGGAAAAGGAGAAGGAGGAATGGGAGAAACTGAGGAGGAGGAATAGGGGAAAAGGAGGAGGAATGGAGGAAAGGAGGAGAAGGAATAGGAAGAGGGAGGAGGAGGAGGAGGAGAGAAGGAAAGGAAAGGAAAAGAGGAGGAGGAGAAGGGAGAAGAGGAGGAAGGGAAGGAGGAGGAGGAATGAGGAAAAGGAGAAGAAGGAAGAGAGGAGGAATGAGGATAAAGAGAAGAAGGAGAGGAGGAGAAGAAGAGGGAGAGGCAGGAGAGAGGGAAAAGAAGGAGAGGAGGTGGAGGAGGATTAGCAGGAGGAAGAGGAGGTAGTGGAGGAAGATATGAGGAAGAAAGGAAGAACTCACACACACACAAAAAATAGGTACGAGTATAATTTCCACATGCTGGGGAAGAATAATCTGTCGTCCCTTGTAAACGCAGATCAACCTCTTTCAGGGGAAGTATATATGTTAAAAAAAATAATTAAATAAACCATCATTCTACGTTCCGTCTGTTCCACACACGTACCAGTGGCAGGGTCGGAGAACACCACAGTGCCGACCAGTCTCTCCTTGTCGAGTCGGGAGAGCAAATCGCGAATTCGGGGGTTGCTGTGGTGTCGGAACAGCATCGTTGTGACTGCCGCTTGGTGCATGCCTGGAGGAGATCGGAAAATTAATAGAAACATTACCACTTTTATTTTCCTATTTTATGTGTTTTCCTCTTTGGAGAAGATCGAAAATTGCTAGAAACATTATCTTTTTTATTTTCCTTTTTTTAGTATTTTCTTACATTTGGAGAAGAGTAAAATTTATCTTGTTTCATTTTTTATTTGGAGAAAGTCGCAGGATTATTTTATTTTATTAATAGTAAGATAATACGAAAATAACTTGAAAAATGTATACTACTTTCAGTCCACAGTCTAGCTAATAAAGTAATGATTTCTGAACCTTAAATGTCTTTAACTGACACCCATAAAAGCTTATTAAGCTATAATATCATTTGAATCTCCGACGATTACAGCCATTGAAAAAAGACTACCACCACGGCAAACCCACAACATACCACCTTGCAGAGTAGTTTCGAAATCTTCAATGGAACCCTGAGGTAAAATACTATTGCTAATGCTAAAACATAAAAAGAAGAAAAAAAGCGTATCAACATTCACCCCCAAAGAAAAGAAAACGTAACACCCCCAAAAAAAAATAATAAAATAAAAAATCTAATTTCAAACCCATTCATCCTCTACTCACAATTCTATTTTCCTTTACCTCGCCCCCCCCTTCCCCCCCCCACACACACACAACCACACGAAACACCACTCACAGTAGACCATAGCGGTAGAAGGGCATCCGTAGCGGGCAATGGTCTCAGCTACCATGCTCACACACACGTGGTTCTCTCCTCGACCACCCAGCTCCTCCGGCACCTGAAGACCTAGCAGTCTCAGCTCGGCGAGGTCGTTCATGGACGCCCTCGGGTACTCGTACGTGCGGTCGAAGTGGGGCTGAGAGAGGCGAGGCAGGGAGATTAAATTTCTTTTATTTTCCTTTTATCCTTATTTTCAGAAATCTTTTTATGTTTTTCCTATCATTTATTTATCTCTTATCATTACTGCTACTACTACTACAACTGCTATTATCATTATCAATGTTATTATAATTTGTGTGTATGCGTGAATATATGTGCGTGTATGCACACGCACATAGACACAAATAAACAGAAACAGAGAGAGAGAGGGGAAAAAAACTCACCGCCCGGGGTCGTATCTTGGTCCGACACAATTCGATGAGTTCCGCGCGCAGCTGCTTCTGAGCCTCCGTCAGGACCCAATCGGGGTCGTATTCGGCCCCCAGCCCCCAGTACTCGCTCCGTCCCCAGGGTTTCATCTGTGGGCATGGAAGGAGATTAATTAAATAAGGAAATAAAGAAAGGTGGATCAATAATGAAGAAGCTGAAGGAGTGATAACTTGAAAAGTTAAACGAAACACAAAACAAATATGAAGCATGGGTGAGAACGAGTAATACAAAACAGAAAGAAACACATGATAACTGTTGGATAAATGAATGGCGAAAGAAAACCAAGTAAACGACACGACGATTACCGATTACATTAAATTAAGATAATTTTACAAAATAGTTCCCCATGGCGGATCGCGACGATTTTGATATCGATGGATTCCTCTTACTCTCAACCATTAAAATATTCCTCTTAGCCCGTACTTTTAAAACCTTTCGCCAGGGCTGGCGAAAGATTTCGCCGGGCGATCCGGAATTTCGTACTATTAAAATCATGCCTGGCGAACGTTCGCCAGGGCTGGCGAAAGATCATATTGGAACAGCCTGGCGAAGCAAAGGCGCGAGAGCTGTTTGAATACCATTTTCTTGCTTTCAAGTTATAAATTAGTAACATATTTGTGTATGATATGATGTAGGAATCACATTGAAATTCTACAATATCTTAAAATCATTATTTATTATGAGATAACGTACATACGTATTTTTTTTCAAGACCTTCGATGTTTCAGTCAAGAGCTCAAGACATCAGCTGTTTTCCTACCCCCCTACCACTACCCCCCACCACCGAGATGACTTATTTATATTTAGGTTGTTATTTTGGTTGTAAGGATAATGTTCTTTTCACAAATGTTACCAGAAGTGTTTTTATGGCGGCATGTTTACTTTTGGCTATAGAAACATAGCTATAGTGCTCCACCGCTCTATAATGAGGCGTCTCTAATGATACCCTTGTAGGCCTATAGTTCAATATCTTATATCAGTTAGGAATAGTAAAATAATAATTTTAAACTCTTTTGTTAAAGTATAGAGTTATTTTTTGTATAAAAGTATAAAGTTGATATAGTATAGTATAAAGTACTTTTAAAACCTTTCGCCAATGCTGGCGTTCACCTGGCGAAGCTTCGCCAGGCGAACATCTGAGTGAGGGAGGCCTTACTTTTAAACTAAGGCAGGTGTTCGCCAGGCCTAGCGAACGAAAGGGATCGCCAGGCGCTAACATCTTGGATTCCTGATAAATCTAGCGCTTCGGCGAATGAAAAAAACGCGAGAAAAAGCAAAAGGTTTTAAAAGTACGGGCCATAAAGTTAACCTTGTTATAGTATAAAGTGTAGTATAGCATAAACTATAAAGTTAATTTTGTTATAGTATAAAGATATTTTCAACTTCTTTGTTATAGCATAAAGTTAAATTTTAACTCCTTTGTTATAATATAAAGTGAGACTATTGTGGAAACAACATTTTCGTCTTCTCTCGAGGTTAATAATTAAGTTTAGGTTATGTTATGTGCACTGCAGATGTAAACAAATTTGCGCTAGATTTAGCGGGAATGCAAGATGTTAGCGCCTGGCGAACGTTGGGTTTAAAAGTAAGGCCTCCCTCACTCAAAGGTTCGCCTGGCGAAGCTTCGCCATGTGAACGCCAGCACTGGCGAAGGTTTTAAAAGTACGGGCCTTACTCTCAACCATTCAAATATTCAAAATAATTGAGCGGACCCCCCCCCCCAGTAACGACAACCTTGACCTCAATAACAGGGAAGAGTTTAGAAGGTACCAGGGAAATTACGGGGTAAAATATAAAGAATATACACGGAATCGGTCCCTACAATGTCACATGCAGGGTCTGTCCTCCGCCCAGGGAAACGAAGAATCCTCCTCCAACAGAAGAGCGTCGGACAGTCGGCATCGGGCGTCGTACGCTCTGGTCGTGAATACAGATAGGTTTAGTAGTATAACAGAAAAAATCCTACAGGTTAATTACCCTTTACCAAGGATCTTAATCCATAATAATAATCATTAGGGTATTTTGTTATCATCTAGTACCAACTGAATCAAACCTACCCTTATATATATGTTTTGTTAGTTGACAAAATTCCTCAAAAGGGTAATACTATATTACTCATATCTCTCGGTCATGTATATTGAAAAGCACTTCTGGAAACAACACAATTGCCTTTCACAATAAATTGGTTGCAGACAGCCGAATTTTATTCCGTCAACCTTAGCCCAAGGATAAGGATAAGCCGGATATGTGAAGCTGAACCTCGCCTTGCCTATACAGTGAACCCTCGCTATAACGCGGTTCACCTTTCGCGTTCTCGCTGCTTCACGGATTTGCATTGTGTTCTGCATTCTGATTGGCTAAACAGTCTCTCCGCTTCTCTACCTGTGTGTCAATAACGTTACGGTTTAATATGTACATGTACGTACAACAGCTTGCAAATTTTGCAAAGTTTGCAAATTTTCTCTAAAACCCATGAAGCATTCAGTTCGTATTGATGATTAAAATTATTATTTTACAGTACAGCAGTTATTTGTAAAAAAACGTTTATACAGTACTTTTATTTGTTAAACAAATGCTTGGGCCTGTAAAAGGTTTTGTTCTTTGGTTTCAAAGTATTGTAGAGTATTTCATTGTATAATAATTGTAAAAAAATAAAGGTTACTACTTCACGGATTTCGCCTATCACGGGTTCTTTTTGGAACATAACCCCCGCGAAAAACGAGGGTTCACTGTACTTATAAAGCGCCCGGCTTGTCCTAATTAGTGTCAGCCAACCTCACCTTTAACTACACAGTAGAGCTGCACTCATTTCCGTAGCTCTTTTTCTGCGCATTTATATTGGTTATCGTCCAAGTTGTGACTGGCGAACATCACAAGTTTTTTCTTTGTTTACAATGAGAGGGGAAACTAGGGTAAATTTTCAAATCACGAAAATATTAATTTCGCTTTTGATTTAAAAATGTAATTTGCTCTTTTTGTCAGTAAAGTAAACATGGAAGTCGCATAATGATACTCATCCGTTAATATGTTCTGATTTTATTCTGCTTAAAACCCTGTTTAAGCTCAAATTTATAATTACCGAAGCATTGCCTATCGAGTGTCATTTGTTTTCTGAAAAAGTAGACGAATTTCCCTAAAATTACATCGCTTAACTGCCATGACACCTATGGAAATTCCGCTTATTTAACGAATGCGCTGAATAACTACAGTACTCGAATTGTGATTGGCAGTCAGCAACAGAAGTATTTAGGTCCGCAAGCCAGCAAATTACATTTTACTTGTTGGAATTTCTTTTGTAAATTCAAAGTATTTCAAAATAATGATTGTGCGAATTGTGTATTAATACTGACATCAATAACAAAAGAATTTTCTTCCACCTACACTTTTAACAAAAAGTCATCAGTATATAAGAATATGTTCATCAGTACACAAATGTTTGATGAATTTGTAGCTGAATAATCAGTATACAATAATGTTTGATCAGTTGGTAGTTGAATAATTTTGAAAAATTTAATTACTTCATAATATTTCTACTCATAGACATAATGAGTGAAAATTGTAATGTGATGGATTATTAACAGTAATAGAATTAGTGGAACTAATAAAATTCAATACAGTGGAAAATAGAAAGTCAACACACTGGGCCCTTTTAGTAGCGCAACGAAAGTCCCAACGCATTGGCGGATATGACGTCATGGCTTAGGACCCACCTCTCCAATCGTCAATAATTGAGATATTTCTTTAAATTGAAATGTTTGTGATACACTAGGGAACAGATTATAAAGACAATGCATGATAACACCATAAGATATAATTTTACCAAAGATTTGAGGTTTAGTGATAAGATCAGACGAGGGGCTTAGAATGTGAGCGGTGACAGCGAGGTATATTTTCGTCATTTAGCGGTGACTATGAGGCCGCTGCAGCTTAAACTATGTTGTAACCCATTCTAATTTTTCCGCTCTATAAGATAGCCGTGTCCATTCCCCACTATCTACGCGCGCAGCTGTAAGTAACTTAAACCGCAGCTTGTTCATAGAGTGACAACACGATAAGACCTTAACCTTATAAAGGCAATCCGATATGTTACCGAGGCCTAAGGTATGAGTTCGGTTGTGTCCCTTCCCTTAGGAAATGTATTCCCGGCAGCTACTGTTCATTAGGGCATTTGCTTGTTATTTCATTCGATTATTATCATTGTGGCTAATTACTTATATTTCCTTTATAATGTTCATTGTCAAAATAAGTTGTAAGTTCCCAAATCATGCTTCTATTATTACGAAAGGTTGAGTGAGAAGTTGACACATATTGTGTTGAAATTACTGATCTATAGAAAGATGCATTTAGCTCGTTTTCAAATGCGACCGAGAAAACCTGTATATACCTAGCATATCTTATAAACAGTATTTGTGTTTAACATACAAACTTCATATCCTACTTATTTCCAAATGATGCATAAAAATATCCAAAGTTAACTATTACTTATAGTCTTATAGCACGTTAAAAAGCCCACACGTTATTTACCCATTGCTAGGATCTTAAACAGTAGTAATAATTGTGTCTCACAACAACTGACCCACAACTACCCGTTTATACATGTTACTTGGGTGACGCAGTTCCTCAAAAGGTAAGACTATATTACTTATATGTCTCTTAAATAAGTTAAATATCACTTCAGGAAACAACACGACTGCCTTTCACAATACCTTGTTCGCAGAGAGCCGAATGTTGCACCTACAACCTCCACCCAACCTCACTTGTCACTACACTGTTGGGCTGCTCATTTCCGTGCCTATTTTCCGCGCATTTTCACTGGTTATCGTCCAGCGTTGTGATTGGCTAACGCGGCATGTCTTTTCTTTGTTTACTTTGATGAGTGGGCAAACTAGGGTAAATTTTCAAATCACAACAATATTACTTTCACTTATGATAACGAAATGTAATCGTCATATACTCTGCTTGACAGTGAAGGAAACATGAAAACCATGTAATAATACTCATTCATTATGTGATTTTTTTTTGTATTTTGCTTAAAACACCTTATTTAAGCTCAGATCTATAGCTACCGAAGCATTGCCGTCAGTTCAAC